CCCCCCCCCCCCCCCCCCCCCCCTCGCTATGGGTCATGCCTGCGCAAAACCTTGCCGAGGCAGCGAGGGGAAGATGTCAGCGGCGGAAATTTACCTGTTTTGGCTGGCAGCTGTGCTGTGCAGGGATGAGTCCAGCCAGAAATCGAACTCAGCATCGGGATTTGATTTCAACCAGCGGTGGCTATAGCTAAATCGAGCGAATTGAGCAACGCCCTACATACGCAAATACAGAAAACCGAGGCTTCGTCGGGAAAGATTCACTTCTTCAACTTTGAGCAATAATTGTACTCAGTTTTGCCAACCTTTAGAGGGGTATCGCCGGCAGCAAGAAGGCGCCACTTTCAAGGACCACTCTACTACTGACTTACGTAGCAGGTGCGAGACAGTCCACCCTATTTAGTAGATGTACATGTTTTTACACGGGCGAGGGTATCAAACTCAACCGCGACTCCCCTTGTATACTTTACCTTTTCGTGGGGTCTTTCCTTGCCCGCGCACTGTGCTGAGCTACATTCCGCTAATCAGCTTTTTCGGCTGTTAGGCTGCTTGCTCTGCCTTTTTACCTGACGCTGCCCCGCTTTACTGCATGAGGAGCGATCTTATGCATCAGCGAAGGCAGTGTGCGGACGAGACGACTACATGGCATCGGCGGGGGGAGGCGTAATTCTCTCTGTGTTATAAGTGCAAAGTTGACACTAACAGACGAAACACGAAAAGCGGAGAACGAAGGCTTGTTGCGGAGGAACAGAACAAAACCACAACACCACCGCCGATGTTCATGTTCACGAATGAATGACCCGAGTCCCATGTTAGAGGCACCATCAGGACAACAAATCCTAGGCTCGGGTACAAGGGAAAGCGGAACATGCATGGTCCACCTTTTGACATAGTCTACGCACAAACTCTGTTCCTACCTGAGCCAACACTGCCATCGAAGGTTGCATGGGTGCATAGGTAGGTAGGAGACTCACCATTCAGGGCAAAATGACTCGGAAATATGCCCGTGGAACGCTCTCGCGCTCGTGTTCCCCCCCCCTTCTGCTCTCTCTCTCGCTCTCTGTTTGTTGCGCACTGTTGTTGTTGCTGCCATGTGGTTGTGTTCTGTCTAATGGCTTGGCGCCTGGCCTGCCAAAACTGAAAAAAACTGCGAGAGAATCCGCTTTGTGTCTCTTCGGCGATAGGCATGATTCCGCCGCATCATCACACGAAACTGCCAGGGGCCAGAGAGGAGACCATGCAATCCGTTACGTTTGTTCGGCTCCATCTCTCCGCGATGAACTGTTGCAACCTACCAGCAGGAGCTAGCTGCTGCTTTTCCGCGTAGGGGGTGCCTGTAACCACGCGTGGCAACTGCTGGCGCTGGCCGTTTTGTCGGAGCGACCGAGAGAGCATTTGATATCACCGGTCAATTTACCGCTCCAGCAGCTGAAAACTGCTGCAGTTTCTGCGCAATTGCGTGTTGAACGTTGCCGAGTTACATGCATAACGGAGGCCGACGTATGAATACTGGGCGATTTAGCCAGGCGGACAATAATGCCACACGTAGTCATGGCGAGTACATATCGTCCCGGGTACTACAGCAGGAGACTGAAGGTGAGAGAGGACAACAAACGCTTTGCTTAACTTTCTTAGGAATAGTCTAATTATCCCCGTGGTGTATGCAGGCTGGTGGTCGGTTGATGCCTATTCCGTTTCTCATCGATTTTCTCTGGTACTTGTCGCGCACCTGCCGCTGCAAAAGTGCAGCCGGAGAACCACGTCTCGAAGCGTATCAACAGCGGCCATGAGCACGGTCTTTGTGGGCACGGTTGGCTCGCCTGCAGCGTGCGAGTCTTCACTTCCTTTTCAGGGCCACACGAACAACTGATTCGAATCGGTTTCGCTCCCCATGCCCACCGGTCTTGCCACTCTTTGGTCCGAACCACTGATCATTCTGATGGTTGCTCACTAGGTTCTGCCTTGAACGGCCTCTCTTGTTTTTTTTCTGAACTGATGCGTACAGCAGCTTAGGGCTGCCTGCACAGAAGCCTGGAGATTCAGCCCATCGCACCTGGTTGCCCTCAAGTAGTGTGAGGCCGGGCAAAATGTATACCACGATCGGTTGTTGCGAGACACATATTCTGCAGTTTCGCGCAAGTGGGAAACCAACAGTACTGCTGTGTTGGTACTTTCGTAAATGCCTCTAAATGCCTTGAACAACGTCGTAACAGCAGTCACTACGTCTGTCTGTGCATGATCATCGCTTCAGCGCCGACACCAGCGCTAAAATCATCGGCATCGTCACCATCATCGGCAAGCGCCTATCTTTGCCTAGATGCCCTAGAGTTGTCCTCAACGACCACAACAACGAGGACAACTACTGTTTCACCTCAACCGTCGAACTGCAGATGGTATCCCTTCAAGTTTGCGTCGCTTGCCGAAGCTCTCGACACTACCACATCTGCATCCCGTGGGGAGTCCCGGGATGGATATGGGCCCCCGCGATAGGTCGTCACCGTGTTTCTAGGGTCGTCGAGAGGTGCGCGATATCCTCGCGCTCGAGGTCCAGCACCATTGCAGTCCGATCCATCCCCTCTCTGAAAGTACGCGGCTTGACATGGGGTTTGTGACCACCGGTGACATTTTCCTCGAGGAAAAACAAGCTCGTCGCCGGGCTCGAGAGCCTGGTTTTCGGAGACCACTTCAATGACGACATCACTGAGGTCGTGTGGCTGCGGGTGTTGATTCGCCTGGCGTTCGGTAGAGGGTTCAATCAGCCTGTGGCCAACGCGTCCCTGAGGCAACTGACGTTCGGAGACTGGTTCAACCGCTCGCTTGACGGGACCACGTGGTCGGGATCGCTGCAACAGTTGAGCTTCGGCGATTTGTTTAACAAGCTGATCCGGAATGTAGCATGGCCGCCTTCGCTGCGGCAGCTATCCTTGGGGTTCTGCTTCGACCGGCCTATCGCCGACGTAGCGTGGCCAGCCTCGCTGCAGGATATTTTTTTCGGGCACAACTTCAACCGTCCGATCCATGACGTATCATGGCCGGCGTCGCTGCGACGCCTCTCGTTTGGGTACTCTTTCAACCACCCCGTGAAAGCCGTACTATGGCCAACATCTGTGCAAGAGATACGTTTCGGTATCTGCTTCAACCAGCCGATCCGCATGGCTGCGTGGCCTGGGTCCCTTCGACGGCTCACCTTTGGCCGCAACTTTCAGCAGCAGCGCATGGACCAAGTCGAGTGGCCGGCCTCGCTGGAGCAGCTTACCATAGCCCGCCGGCCCAATGATCCCCTGCCAGCTTGGTCAGGAGTGCGCATATTTCGCGTGTGGGAGGATTGGTGGTAGCACCGGGGGGGGGGTATGCTCAATCTTTTGCATACCGTAATTGAAAGACCATTGACCACCCGTCTCTGCAGGACGGAGCAAAGGGTGATGTACCAGGGACGTGCGTATTCCACCAATTTTTGGATTTGTGCACGCAAGCATGTACATTAGTTTGTAGGCATCCATTTGAGTGAGATATGTATCTATCATCGCGGATGGTTCAAACCCTGGTGCTGGAGTGTGCAACCTGCATATCATTTGTGTGTTTTGGGGTCACTCAAGCGATGCTTCACACCCTCTCTGTTCGAATATATGCAGTTTTTAGCGATCATCGAAGAAACTGTATGGACTGTACAGATTCGTTCATTCAATCCCGATGCGATGTCTCAGGGTGTGATATTCTATGTTCAACACGTTTTTTGTCTCATATCTATGTGTACATCGTACCCAATTTTTTTTGTGTTTTTGATGTGATATTTTCTCATGTGTCTTGAGTTGTTTTTAGCCAACTCTACGAACTTTCAGATTACGGTTGTTACATTGACAATACCCGGGGATCCCGTTTCCAAGAACATACGCCGGCTGATGACTGCAGCAGCTTTACTCCGTTATTGAAGTTATTCGGTTCGGCGGGGAGGAATCACGTACTGTATGCCCCATACCATGGGCGTACCTTGCTACTCTACTGGACAAAGTATGTATGCATTCGACTCCATTATGTAATCGTCGTACTTTAGTTTGAGCTCCACGAGATTCAGACCAGCGTGGTGTCGATGGTGTTTCCAGATGGTGTTTCCATACCGTGCTACGGTATAGAGCCGTGTAGCTTCAATATAGTTAGGGCGGGTAAAGGCTTTTGAGAGGTCGGGCAAGATTTTGATTGGTGACAGAATAGGTGGGCTGGGAACGATTTTGCGAGCCCGATGTATCGATTGCGGCCGAAGTCCGTCACGACTCTCAGGAAGAATAGAATAAAATGTGGTGGTTCGCTAGCGTCATTACTACGTTTGTGTACAACTTGCGTGCATGTACCGTTGTTTCCTCGTCCGGCATGCCATTTTTGGTAAAAGCGGTTTCCTTGCAGACCCCTCGCAAATAGCCAGATGCACGGTTACGGATGACGCTTTCTTATAACTGAATATTTTCAGTGATGTGCTTCTTGATATGTAGGATATCCCGAAACCAAAGCGTGTTCTGTTTTTGCACGTGCACATGGTTGCTGTGACGAGTTGTGATCAATTACGCGTTTTGCAGGAATTCCATCGTTTGGAAGGATGTCGATACGCGAGAAACAATACGGTGCATGACAACGTTTGACTCCCGTGTAGGTAGTTTTCATCTTTCGATGTGCGTGACATTGAGACCACCCTTGCTGGATATCACCGGATTAGCCGGCGACATGAAGCTTTCTGGGAAACCAGGATGATACCAAAAAGTTGTTGATCAGCGGAAGACCGGTCGGGTCCTCCACCTGTGCTTGATCGACAATCAACTTGCGTTCTGGCAGGCAACTTGCGTCACACAAGAAAAGTTCGAATGTCCAGCTGAGAAGGAGGGTGCGGGGGCAGCTAACTTGTTTGCCCAAGACGAGGGAAACGAAGCGGACACTGGCATATCTCCCCTTTGGCACCCGATCTAGGCATACCGCAACAACCATCCTATACAACGGAGGACACATGTGGTTCCTTGGTTTAGGCTCCCCCACCCAGAAGACCTTGACAATGCTGCTACGCTTAAGAACCGGAACGTTCGGCGGCTGCAATCTTGCGAACACAGAGAGGACGGCCGCTGCTCTCTGGATGACTTCGGTTGAGCTGTAGGGTGGAGAAAGAATATAATTAATACCAAGAACATTTGCACAATGTCATGCTTGATTGATCGGTCGGTGTTGCACCGGTGACGGTGTGTCTCGAAAAAACACCGAATGTGACAACTCCAGCTTTGATCCAACCGCGAATAGACTAGTTGCTGTGGAAGAAATCACACATTGTGACATGCCCGAAGCGTTCTGCCGAGTTGGGGTGGCGCGAATTGTGCGTGCCTGATGCGCAGGCCATAAAACAGCACCAGTCCAGGTTGTCAATCCGCCCACCTGACATGTGTATCTGTAGCGCACCGCACATGAAGAACCGGTTAGTCAGATTGTTTCTTGACAACATAAAAGTTATTGAACGACAAGAAGACTGACCCCGCCGACGAAAAAACTATGACGTCCGGGACGCCAAGTCCGGGCAAAGAAACACGCCCCCGCGACCCTCTAGCGGAGAAGTTCGATACCGAAGACTTCCGGCCCCGGTGTTGGAGAACAGCAACGCTTGTACCCTCAAAATTGGTTAGGAAGCACTGGTCGGAGGCGTTCGATTCGGAGGGAGTACATTCACACAATGTCAAAGGCAGCTGTATGCTTCCGAAGCCATTCGTGGATTAGATTACATGTCACGACCGTGCAGAGTGCTGCGTTAAACTCCCAGCGCAGCAGAGTTGTCACGCGAAAGAGCATTATCTCTAAACGACAGACGGGTTTCTGATGGTGTACGTGACGACAAGATTGAGAAGTTGGGACGGTTGCCGTTGGGACTACGAAGAAATATAACCTTCTGTGGTGACAATCTTGATTGTCTTCGTCTTGCAGACATCGCCTGGGGGTCGAATGCCTTCGGGCCTTGCTAAATTATGGCATCTTCCTCATCGACATGGCCTTGACGGAGATCAGGCCATTCCTGTCCCAAGAAGAGGGTTCCTTCAACAAGGTGTAACCTTGGGTGAGTAGTGCTAGGCGCTGCAAATGAGCATGGGACGCAGCTCGCAGGGTGGATGGACGACGTAGGCTACTGCTGCTGTAGGTGCGTCAACGTAGCGTCGACCGCTGACGTCTGTCAGCTTTGGGCGCGGGTGTCCCGTGTGTGAGCAATTGGCAGATGGCGGGGTGTGGACTTGTATTACATCACGCGGGAAGTAACCTACCTTACTGCTCCCTTTCCCATCTTGCTTTGCCTCTTCTATCCCTTGCCCGTTGACGCCTACGCCATCATCACTGCTTGTACTTCTTGGCTGAAGGTATTTATGCCTGCCTTGAAAGATATCAAGTTAGTTTACATAGCACTATCAAGAACAGACGGTGGCATCTCCCTGAAAACCCTCTTCAGCAAGCGAGTCGACCGAGGCGTGAAGATGAAAGAAGGAGTTACATAACCCAATCGACTTAAAAAATCTGATTGCGACTAAATAAGAGATTGTTCCCCCAGCTGCCCGGGGTAGGAGAACGAGCTGCTCAACAAACCCTGCCGCGCCGCCACATCAACACCACCGTCGACGTTGAGTCTACGGACTTGGTCCAAATCTCCAAACCACAACCCAGGCCGTGCTCGATTTGAAGATGGGCTAGGAATTCGAGTGGATCTGGCAAAATACAACCAAGTACCTCTGTAGACTCAGGGTAATCAACCATGTACAACTACGCTTATAACGCTAAATACGCTTATACTTTATATTATATACTTTATAGACTACACTAGCAAGTGCTATTTTTCCCCATTACAACACTGAGCGCGCAATATATATATACTGTCGAGGTAACAGCACTGTCACTGCAGTCGCTGTACAGCTATTCCTTCAGCTTTAGATACAAAGTAGCTGGCATGTGATGCGAGGTTAGGTAGGCAAACACACAGAGTGATCTTCACACAGTCGACCCCGCTTTAAGGACGCACATGGTTTTTCCCGAAAAAGAGCGTCTTCAAAGCGGGGTTGCGTCCTTCAAAATTTCAGGGGACGATAGCTCACCATACCCGGGGTCAATGAAGGCATGCTATACCTCAAACTACGCGTCTTTTGATAAGGAAGGGTGTGGTACGAAAAGTCAACATCGCCGAGACGAATGGCAACCGCTTGTTGACGTCGAACATATTTACTATACTTAACATGAGATGTACAGCAATCGGGGACGTCTTGAACACAACTACATACAGTACACAAGTTTGGCCAACTAATGTACTGCTTCGCTGGCAGCGGAAGAAGGAGGAATGTCCAAGTAGAAATATATTTATCTCATTCTCGTGAAACACAAAAAACACGAGCGTATTTCAGCGTCGCACCGAGGAACACCAGTACATATAACTGTCCCGGCGGAGACCAAGCTACCCTGACGGCTTTTCCCTCCACATATCGCGAAGATTTCCCTGAACCTCCCCCCGCGGCTTGGCTCTACGGCTCTGTTGAGTTTCACGAGTAAACGAATGAAAGGTCTTCGAAAGGAGGTACTGCATCTCACGGTACTCGCCACCCCTTCCCTTCGCGTACAAATAGGATCGAACGTCCTCCAAGCAAGAGATAACCTCGCCCTCGGTGAGGGACGAGGTTATGCACGACTCCGGCCTGCCGCCGCCGTCACCCTCTTCGCTCGATACGTCGTCGTCCACTTCTAAGCCGGCGAGATTTCTCTCTACTGCCTGCAGTTCCAACTCCACCTCCTCTTCTAACACCTTGGGGTCGTCCTCTACCGTAAGCCACGTCTTGACCGCCGTTCGGACTTCCTGCTCTGTGAGGTCTGTGCCCTTCTCGACAAACAAATTGTCCGTCAACACTCGCGGCATGGACCTATAGTCCGTTACGCTAGCTGGCATCGAATTTTTTGAGACCATGTCACAAAGGCCGTCGATGATTGCCGCGTCGTCCTTGTCCTCTCGGTCAAGCCGCGTGTCTATGCCCTTGAAAATGTTGCAGTGCTCCATGGGAAGGTTGCCAGCCTTGAGCCAGCACCTGATGAGCGTCTGATTGTCGAAGCTACGCCACTTCTGGGAACAGATGTCCGTGACGTCCAGCATTGTCGCCTGTCTGCATCGCTGAGGCCCCGGCACCCTCTGCCGAAACGAAACATAGGGACGGATGAAAGGGCTAATCTTAAGACCAGCTCGACAAAAAAGTTCAAAGAACACCATTTTCAGAGCCTTCGCAAAACCTGCGACGACGGTAACAAAGCGCCCCTAAACTGTAGTTTTGAATCCACCTTTGGATTTTTCGTGCACGGACAGTGTCCCAGTCCTCGATGAGGTCTGTCAGCCTTGCCACCATCTCGGTCGTGTACTGGCACTTGAGTACAAACAAGATGCCCAGGTCCATGGGCTGGTAGACAGAGGTGATGTTCGGAGGCAAGAAGATGATGTTGATTGGCCCCAAGCCTAGTGCTGCTGGATTAGCACGGCTGACCCGGTTGACAAACGTGGAGAGATGGTCAAGACGTTTTATTGGTTGCCTTCGTGGACACAACCCACGGAAGAGAGTGAGCACCAGGATGCATCACAAACATCGAGGCACTCGTATAACAGCCGCCNGCCTTCGCAAAACCTGCGACGACGGTAACAAAGCGCCCCTAAACTGTAGTTTTGAATCCACCTTTGGATTTTTCGTGCACGGACAGTGTCCCAGTCCTCGATGAGGTCTGTCAGCCTTGCCACCATCTCGGTCGTGTACTGGCACTTGAGTACAAACAAGATGCCCAGGTCCATGGGCTGGTAGACAGAGGTGATGTTCGGAGGCAAGAAGATGATGTTGATTGGCCCCAAGCCTAGTGCTGCTGGATTAGCACGGCTGACCCGGTTGACAAACGTGGAGAGATGGTCAAGACGTTTTATTGGTTGCCTTCGTGGACACAACCCACGGAAGAGAGTGAGCACCAGGATGCATCACAAACATCGAGGCACTCGTATAACAGCCGCCAGAAATTCCTCGTAGTAAAGACGCATTCGGAACTCGGAACACGCGACAGCGGAACACGTGACAACTTGTCAAAGATATGATCGGAGATACCCCGAAGATCCAAGAACGAGTAACAGCCACTACTTGCGCAATTGCATCTAGCTCAAAACCACACATGAGTATCACCACAGTAGCCTTCGTAAGGATGGCATAATCCACCTCACGAACAGATGGTGACGATCTGCGGGTCGTTGCTTTTGATCTTGTGGCCGTGGCAGTTGTCCCATAAGAGGGCCACCTTCGTGGAGGTCTTGCCTTTGACGAAGGGGACAAACACTTCGTCAAACCACCGCTGGCAAATGGCTGCGTCGAGCCAGGCACTCTCCTGGGCGAGGTAGGGACATGGCGGTTTGCGGACGTGGCGGAGAACCACCGGTTTTTTCGACGTGCTGATGACGGCCAACGGCACCATCAGAGATCCGGTCGTATCGCAGCAGGCGACCACCGTGCACCGATCCTTGGCCTTCATGGTCTTCGAACGCGGCGCGGTTTTGCTGTTGACGCCGGCGGCGCCCCCCCCCTTCGTGACGTATGTACCTCTCCGGAAGCAGCGGAAGAAAAGTCCCGTCTCATGAACCAGGAGATACTCGGTTATCATACATTCCGCCCGGCCCCCTGGTTGTTTGTTGTGTTGCTGTTGGTTGTTATCGTCATACTTCTAGTATTATACCATAGTTGTGTTGTCTCTATGGTATATGACTATATACCATACATAGTGCTGTCTTCACATTTTAAACCGTTCCGATCTCTCTCTACCCAGTACCTTCGTATGTCCGTACAGAACCGGCCCGTACTTAAGAACCTCTTTTTTGGAGCGAGGCTCGCTTCTTGTTGGCTGCCCCAAGCCGAGCACAAGTTCTTATTTGCCAGGTTCTTATTTCGTCGTCCAGTTGTCTCCAGAAACGGTGTTCTTGTTCTTATTTCATCATCGATTGCTCAATTGGTGCACTACTCAACTGCACTCGACGCAGAGTTTCATACCCGCAAACACCCCCCCATGGGGCAACTGTCAACCGTCTTGGTCCACAAGAGTGACGTTGGGGGTGCGTACCCTTCCCGCCCTACTGACGCTCTCAAGCAAAACCCATGAGCCTACTGCGGCGTCCGGATCTCCGCTGTACTTGTCTAAGGGCAGCTTCATATTGCGCGTACTGTGGTCTACTTCCAGCTGCACACAGTAGTCGTACAGGTGGCGCTGCGGAGATTGCTGAATGATCAACCCACCGATCCACCCCATGCCCAGCCGAACAAACACTCCACGTTGCAAAAGCAATCTGTCAAGAGCAGCGGGGGTAGATTCTTGAAGGCGAAAGCCCGCCGGGATCTCCATTCCCTGCGTCTCGTCCTCCGGGTCGTCTGGGTCCATGCTGTCGTCCTCGTCCAAAAGAGCTAGCTCGTCGGTCTGGGATTGAGACATGTCTGCGACGAAGGGTACCGTGAAACACGAGAAGGAACGTACGGGTGTCATCGCCGTTACTCAACTGAAGTGAACACACCATTTGTTCGTAGACGTGACGCGGAAACAGAATATCAGCAATATCCCAAACAGCACAAGAAAAGATGAACAAAAAGGACAATGAATTAACTGTAGTCTATG